CGCTTTCCCGTTGTAGTAGTACATGAGAGAGCTGCTGGTCATTCCCGGGATGGGGTAGGCGCAGTACATGTTTCCACTGGACTGTGCCAAATCGCGCGCGCTTTTCGGTCCTTTCCCCGCGCGACCCACTCCGCTTACGTCCACCTCCGTACGTCCTCGCTGTACTCCACACGTCGATCGCGAAAGTGTTGGATTAGAGACAGAATAGCGGCGACGGGACAGTTCCTGCAGTCGCGTGTTCCCGTATGACCGAGCGGAGGCATGCGTTATGCAAATACTGCCGGGACGCCTCCCTCCCTTCCCTCTATTCCAGTCTCCCACCCTCCCTGTCTCCCTCCAACTGTGCCGCGGTTTGCAGCTTGGATTAGAGCGCGGAATGCTCTCCACACACCGCGCGCTGCCCGGTGCGTCTGCGGTGATATCTGTGGTTCTTGTGATGTGTGAGGGCACTTGTGGTCTTTGGAGTTTCGATGACCCCCGCCCTGTCAGTGGATTGTGTCCACAAACGGAAAGGGGGGAATGCGCGCTGCCATCCCCTAAAGCTCACGCACGCTTAAAACCCAGAAAATATGTGATTGAAGTATAACAATGCAACTTCTGGAGGTGTCACGCTCTGAGATGATTCCATAGAAATAGCTTAAGGAACACTATTTTAAAACGGTGTCAGGGGTGAGGAGATGCAAGCCTGTTCTCATAAGAACACCGTTTTGTGTTGTTTTGTTGTCCCATTGAAATAAACAGTAATGACAAAAAATAGTAACCTATAATTCAATAATAAACAAAAAGCCCAGCAGTAATAATATCTAATCAGCTATAGATTGCTGGAGTAATGGAAATAGAAGGGGTCGGTGGCGCAGACTGGTAGCCACAATTTTGCCCCAGGGCAAATGTGACTACAGTCGTATTGTCACAGCCATGTTTTTAGAGCATGAAAAATGCACTTTTAGAGTTATGAAAGGGGATATTTAAATGAGTGGCATCATTGTATTAGATGACTGCAGACTGGACAATTAATCATCTGACTATATCCTAGCATCCTACTATCAGGCCTACTATATGTCTATTTACAGTTGTGTGTATCGCCGCTAGAGGAGGTGTTGACGGACGCGCACACATTCCTGTGCAATGTGAGGCTTGGTGGGTTTGATTAAAGCAGATGTCAACAGGAAGTGAGGACGGGAGCGTGCGCACAAGGGCCCGAGGCGCGTGCACGTGTGCGTGTGATAAGTGCACCATCTGTCTGTGCACTGGCTCCCAGCTCTGGCACATACCCAGCTTTGTCCCACACTGATGCGCGGCACGCTGCCTACATGCACATGCACATGTGCAGACACATACACACCCAGACGTTTAGACAAAACACACAGAGCCTCAGACACACACTACACTCAAACTCACACACTATAGGTCTGGGTGAGCCAGAGAATCTCAATTTAGTTTTGTTTAATAAACCTACTGGTCTGACAGATAAAATATTCCTTTATCAAAATAAATCCCAGACACATGCTGCCTGTCCTCAGTGAGGTCACTCCTCTTCAGCCTCTTCCTCTGTTACTGCCACATTATACCTTTGACGTTTCTAATGCATGTGAGGATTTACCAAAAGATTTAACAATTTTGGACAACGACAAATGTGTTTATCAGGACTGCTCTAAAAATATAAAGATAGTTTTTGAGGCAGTGTTGCTTTCTGAGCAAAAGGTTAAAGGTTAAGCATGTGTACGGAAAATGTCACGTCTTACATCTGGTCACCATTTTGTGAGATGAGAATATCTAAAAAAAAACAAGCTTGAATAGTGGATTTTAAGATCATTTTAGAGATTGAGATGGAGCCTTTAAACTTTAAAACTGGTTGAAATGTGTCCTTATATTCATGCCCATTTGTCTTCAGCCTTGGACTCTAATCTAGGAGATGCTCCTCTGTTGTGTTTTTAGGCTGCACAAAAATGTATTTGTTGATATGAGGCTTGATGTTTCAGCTAGATTTTCTGACATGTCCCAAAAACAAGAACAGAAAGTAAGGCGTGGCATTTATGCATGAGAGAGAGAGAGAGAGAGATACTGTATTTAGAAAACAAATACTTTTGTTAGTGGGATGATTCAAAAATTTGATTCAAAAATGTAAATCACCCCTCTCTCGTGTCACCTTCATACTGACAGAGCATTTTGGGGACTCCTGTAAAAATTAAAGATATGCAGCTGATGCTTTGAATCCACTGAGTTTCTCACTCAACAAGTTCACTGTGTCTTTCTCAAAATGTTTGGTTGTTTGCCGAAAAAGTCAAATCGCGGGGAAATCACCATAAGGACTGCTTTGCATTTTTAATTAAGAAACTAACGTGTGAATATATTTGCATGTGATTGAGCCGCAGATGAAACCATGCATACATAATCCACACTGGTGCAGGTTTGACTGGCGGAGTGGGGACAGGCACACATCAGTCTGAGCAGGAGCTCCAGACTTGAGCCAAACAATTAGAACAATAGTTATTATCTTTATGTGGATTCATATTATACCAGTTTAGAATCAACCACCACAAAAATTAGAGGCATCATTGTGAACAATACATTACATTTAATATATACATATATAAATGGAATAAGATAAGATAAAACTTTATTGATCTCACAAAGGAGACATCTCTATTTAAATAGAATCAATGTAGTTTAAATGAAACATCTGAAAGAAATTACCAGCAAAAGTTTGTTTATTAAACCCACTACTGGAAAATAATGTACTGTTCCAGCAATTATTTATTTTCATGATTAAACAATTCGATGTATGGGTATAACAACAAAGTAATTTTAAATAATTAGCTAGACTTGAGTTTAAAAAGAAAAAGACGTACAAACAAACTGTTAAAAAAAATTCTACCAAATGTTTTTGGAGGAATCGGTTTGTGAAATGCACCTGGCTTGTGATGATAATCATACAGTACATCAGTAATCATACAAAGATCCCCTTTTTCTGTTCCATCTATCTGCATTATTAAGTGGTTCGTTTTACAGATTGGGGGAGGACAGAAGGTAAATAAATGGGAAAATTTTGGCTGCAGATCAATGTGTTTAACCCTGAGCCTTGACTTGCAGGCGACATGTAGCCTGATCTATTCTTTACACATACTGTCTATCACACGTTTCAAAGACAGCAGTGTTCAGTGGGCAGTTTGAGTCGCGTGCACATTTGTACAGATCTGAAGTTGAGTCAGCTCCATCTGACACAAAATGGCGGCACAGCGAGAAAACCAAGGAAAACACAGACGGGGACAAAAACTGTGTTTGGTTATATAGAAATTTAAACTTTCGCTTGTTTGATTGTGATGTTTAGTTAGAATGACAGCACTTCACCCCTCTTAGTGTTTTGTTTTCAGGATTTAGAGCACAATTGATTTTGACAAGGCGCCTTTTCTTAAGTGACATTTTTGACACGTAACTTGAACATGAATCAGACAATACAAATGAATTGAAAATCTTTCAATACTAAATACTAAAATCTTGAAACAATGAAAATGGGTTGTCAAGTAAATACAACAAATAATGTAGAAAACTTAAGAATTCTGAATTTGAATCATGTGAAAAATCTGGTGTGTGTTAGGTCCACTCATAAGCTGTATGGGATTGATACTGTTGTTTGTCCCATTGTGACGTTGTCCATTTAGCCGTGATAATTCTGCCCCAGCCAGTGCAGATGAGTTGCAAAAGCAGCTCTTGATCACCCACGCCTTAATGTCCAAGAAGCAAGAAGTGTATCACTAATGTGCCAGCGGGTTTCTCACAGTGACAGCCCAAAAGCTCTCTGAAAGCACTGGAAAGCACTTATAAACTCATCATGAAAAAATATTCAGATGCAAAGAACACAGGGTCAGAAAGTTGTGGTTTATGATAATAATATTAATACATTAACCCTCTCATCAGCTCAATGAACTCAAAGTTCTCAAGATGTTCAAAATAGAATTTTAGTGATAAAACACTAGTTTTTTACATGTCTATGTCAGCACAAATGTGTTTTCGGGGATTATTCCCCCCAAAGATGAGGCAGGAACTGGGTTTGTGTTACTGCAGGTTACCATGGCAATGTTTTCTCTCATGCTTATAGTGCGCAATTCCACAACGTATCAATAATAATACACATCATTTGACATAATAGCTGATGGCTCAATTTCCAAAAAACAATAGAAAAAAATAATTTGTGTGGAATCTAGTCTAACGTTTGCTTGTGACAGAGGGGCTGATGGCTTATTGAAGACGCCAGCGCAGCAGTGGGGGGCATCTTTGGAGAGGCGCGCTGAAGAAAAGATCCATTATGAAAATGAACACCTGTCTGCCATTGAGAAGGTGCCAGTGCATACAGACGAGAGCAGGGAATAAGGCCCTCCTCGCTCCATACCATGCCCTGGCCTCATTCTGCTCCACATCCTCTTGAGTACTTTTACTTTGATATTCCATCTTATAAAGCAATCTCAGGTCGAAAGAGGCTACCAGCACCATCTACTGGTGGCAGTGGGAATTTTATAATAACTCCCAATGCAAAGCATGCGTGTTAGCATGCATTTATACTGGAGAAAGTATTCAATGTTGTAGATATGGATTATTTTTTGTGAATGAGTACAAGATTAATCAAATGCGGTAATAATCATTAATTTCCCACTAGATGCATTTTTTAATGAATATTTTGTACTTGCTTTGAATTGAGTATGATAAGCTGTTTCAATGTTAAGGTATATTTAGCAAGTTTTGCAATTAATGGGTGCATTATGGCTGCTGAGGTCTGTTGCTTTGCTTGAAACTCCCCTGTAAAATCCAAAACTTGTAAAATATGAAATTAAAGACTGCTCATAAACCTGAACTTCCATATTGGGTCATCTTTCCTTCATAAATGACATGTACCTTTGCCATTTGAAGTTACACAATTTCTCCAATGTAGGTGGAAAAGTATAATGCCATACTGTGGGACATTCCAGCCAAACACTAACATTTAGATGGATTCAAGCAAAAAAGGGAAGTTGAGGATTGCACCATTAATTGCAAAACGTGTATTGTTGTGAATTGAAAGAGCCACATAGTGCTAACTTGTTAAAGTAGAACTACAGAGTACTGTTCAGAGCGCCTGACTGGATTGCAGATGAGAGCAGACAGCTGAAGACGCTGAAGACGGAACATCAATGACAAGAGAGAGTCTCAGAGCCCAGAACAAAACACAGAGAAAAACTGTTTGAATGCTGCTCTTTCTCCCTAACTCTGACACACACCACCCGAGCAGATCCCTGGAACAACCTCGGAAATCTTGGTCCAGAAATGTGCAGTGCTAGGAACAGCAAAGATACTGCGCAGAACCTTCAAGCTCCCAGGCCTCTGGTAGAGGACCTGAGCTAGAGAGGGATGACCGCCCGCGGAGGGCAAACATTGAAATGAACAAAAAAGATGTTTTTATATACACAAAGGCTGTTTATCAAATGCAAAGTGAAGTTGTAAATTGTTCACATGCGGCATGTGAAGAACTGTGTGGACAATCCAAATGGTGTTATCAGGAATTCAAATGAATGAGATATATGTAAACCCTAGGGTACATATAAGGGAGGTACCCATGATACGTGTGTCGTGGTGTGGATTTTGCTGTAGCTTCAGTTCTCCAGTGGTTGTTCCCCTGTTGATGTTGTTCTGGCCTGCCCCAATGTGTTTCACCTTTGTCTTTCTGTGTCTATATTTGTGAATTTGTGGAAGTGCAAAAATCAGCTTACATTCATCCAATAAATGATTTGTAAACGTGACCTGTCTTCTGGGGACACATATAAAAGATGTAGATCTCATTTACAATGAAAATATTACATACAGTTTCTTATGTTCTGGGGAGGTGGCATGTAGTAGTAGTAGTAGTAAGTAAGTTTTATTTATATACCGACTATTCACTGCAGATCTGAGTCTCAAAGCAGTTTACAATTGTTATTATTTGTTTTTTTTGGGCATTTGTCCTCTCACTCCACACAGAGATGGGAGCGGGGTCGCCAGTACAGGAGGCGCATGCCAGAAATATTGTACATATTTTTAGTGGTAGGGGAAACTGGAGTACCCGGAGGAAACCTACGCAGACACAGGGAGAACATGCAAACTCCACTCAGAAAGGCCCTGGTCCGACTGGGATTCGAACCCAGGACCTTCTTGCTGAGAGGCGAGAGTGCTATCCACTCAGCCACCGTGCCACATGTGGTGTTTTTTTCTTCACTTCTGAGTAATCTGTCTTTAAAAACATCCTACAATCATCCAAACCAGAAGCCTCCACAATAGCATTATTTCAGTGGGCATCGCAGTGTATCTCCTATCCATGCAATAAACAGAGGAGGTGGAAGTAATCAGTCTTTCAAACATCCCATTCCCTCCTATTACACCACCAGAACTATCCAGAGGAGAAGTCCTTACACCCTGTCCTCAATATGTAGCCAAGTTGAAAAGTTCTTAACATATTCCTTTAGACACAGGCAACGTCAAGTTTTCTCCAAATACCCTAAGCCAACGCCTACACCCATACATGTATGTGAAGTGGATAGTCAGGTGTACGAGGGATAAAACGTGCCAACAAAACTCTTCTAAAGTAGTTTATGTTCATGGACTAATTTGAATCCTGCATCTTTTAATTACGATGGGCCTCACCTTGATTAGGTCAATCAAAACAGCTTGGATTGTCAACTCTTTTGCCTGATATTGGAAGCTAAAAACAGCCCAAGCAAAGATAGATCAGTTCACATTAGCGTCAGTTTATATTTGAGAGGGTATTTGTAATCTTGAGTTGACAATTATTATTTTCAGTTGTATTATGTCCTGTCACTGAAGGCTTCCCTGATTCTTGCAAAGCATTGTGGACCGTGTTGAAAACTCACCGAAGAAGGTAAACCAGGGGGAACCTTGCGCACTCTTTTTGCATGAGCGTCTGTAAAACAAACAACATTTCAGAGAAGAGCAGCAATCGTAGAGTTCATTCATAATCACATGCAGAACAGTTTCAAACTCAACTATAGAGCAAATAGAAAGAAAAAAAAGTTCCAGAGACAAACTTTTTACCAAGATGCTGGAGGGGCAGAGGTCTCCTTCGGCCATGGGGAGCATGTGGAGTGCCTGATGGGTAAGATTGGTACGCATGGCTCTTGGTGGGTGACATCGCCTGGTAAGGATGGGTCTTGGATGGGGACCGTGTCAGGTAAGTGTGGGTCTTGGTGGGCGACATGGCCTGGTACGAGTGCGTTTTGGTTGGTGACATTGTCTGGTAAGTGTGGGTCTTGGTGGGCGACATGGCCTGGTATGGATGGGTTTTGTTTGGGGACCGCGTTGGGTAAGTGTGGGTCTTGGTGGGCGACATGGCCTGGTATGGATGGGTTTTGTTTGGGGACCGCGTTGGGTAAGTGTGGGTCTTGGTGGGCGACATGGCCTGGTATGGATGGGTTTTGTTTGGGGACCGCATTGGGTAATGGTGGGTCTTTGAGGGCGACATCGAAAGCTCACCTCCCTGCAGATGGATAAAAGACAGTAATGACAATAATAATACATTTATAATATGCAAACAAATGAAGTACCTTCATTTTTATACAGTTCAAATACACAACAACAGGCATCTCATAGCACTTCACAAAATTGTTCATTTGTTTTGATTTGTTTCTTTAAATAGGTTTGTTAAATGTGTGAAAATATTGAATACTGAGTACTAATACTAATTTGGTAATTTGGTTCCAATATTGAAACAATTACATTAGCAGGACAACATTTCTTGAGCAGAGCAGAAGCATAGGCTGTGAGCAGAAGAGATCTTACAACCTCATGTCCCTACAACAAGTCATTTTCTTTTAAATTAGAAATTAGAAATCATTTTAATTCAGATTGTATATGCACAATTTTTGCATATGAATAATTTTGATTGTGAGTATATTAGACCTGTGCACTAGTTTCAATTAAAATTAAAAAAAATTAAATACATTTTTGTCAGTATTACCCAGCCCTATGTGCATGGCTGCAGTGTTGTGGTCTTTCTCACAGCCATGCAGCCAATTATGGGCCTGAGCTCAAACAAAGAGGCCTGTGTGAGCCCCAGTCACTCCCTGGGTGTGCGGGGCCGAGGGGATCCCGCTAAAACAAAAGAACTCTTATTGGTCCTGCCGTTTTGGGCCCCCACTTCGTTTGGTTACCATGCCGACTGCAGACCCGATTAAACATCCATCTGTGTCAGTTTCTACCTGTTGCAGTGCACAGAAGGAAATGTAGCAGACTTCCTCGAGGAAAAAGACAAAGGCAGAGTCAAGAGTCAAGGCATAAACTTTGACCTATATGATTATAATTAAAACAACAATGAATAGATAAACCCTTCCACTGTTGCCATAAACAATTCACCGCAGTAGAGATGGCCACACTTTCCCTCCACAGACATGTTCTCCAGCTCATCCAGGGCAATACCAAGGTGTTCTTTGGCTCTAATCCTAGCGCTTACAGTCACTTTGCAGAGAAAACTCATTTTGAAGGCAAGCAATGCCAAACAAATAGCTCAAGAAAAAAACAGTTTTGTTGTGATTTCTTCCTTAAAGTGATTGTCTGGAGTTTGTCAGAAAAAAGAGAGAGAGGTACATGATTTGAAAAACCGACCCAAGCTCCCTCCCCCTTTTGATTGGTCGGGGTCCACTCCGCCCTGTCGGTACTTATTTTCCAATAATGACCTATATATATATATATTTAGATAGATACTGTAGATGGATAGCTAGATATTTAATATTTGAATTAAATATTAATTACAGCGCGAGCCCAATGATTGACGGCTATAGCTAAGATTAGGGAAGGCGGGACTTACCCGTTTTATTTAATTCATAAAATCATTAAGCCCAGGAGGTCAATCTAATACAATTCGTAATTCATTTAGAGTTCCAGACTATCACTTTCAATAACATTTACGATGATAAAGAGGCAGAGGGCAGAGCGATACAGCAGGACTGCACATGGAAGTATGCAGTCCAAACACAATATTTTCATCATCTTAATTTCAAGGCTCTCTACACTGGGAAAGATGTCAACAATGCCATTGTTAAGAGTGAGACATGAGCTGGTCAATTTTGCCTACAAAATCAAAAAACATTTTTCCCAACATTGTAATAAATATGCATTGCTTTTATTCAAATTTAATCAACAAATTGCAGCTAATTTTAGTGTATATACCACATACATAATACAAATTACATTTTGCATACAATTGCACAGCAGTTGGAGCAGAAAACTAAAAGGCCTTCAGACTACTTTGGAATTTGAGAAAAGTTTTAGTTTTGCCTGAATTTAAGGTGAGTTTTAAGCTAAAAAATAGCTAAAGAACCATGTTAAATGAGAGTTGAAACTGTCAAATTGCTTGAAGCGGAGAAGGGGCAGCACAGTGCATCCTCGTCTTCGTAGAAATGAAAGGATCCGCATTATAACTTAGACTATTGATATGAAGGATACAGAACAAAGGGCCTAAAGCTGATCCCTGTGGTCCTCCTCTCGTTGTAGAGACCTGGCAAGATGAGGAGCAATCTACTTGTACAGTCAGAGTTTTGCCTGAATTCATAGTAAGTAAGTAAGTAAGTTTTTATTTATATACCGCCTTTTCACTGCAGATCTGAGTCTCAAAGCGGTTTACAATTGTTAATTATGGGCATTTGTCTCTCACTCCACACAGAGATGGGAGCGGGGTCGCCAGTACAGGAGGCACATGCCAGAACTATTGGACATATTTTTAGTGGTAGGGGAAACCGGAGTACCCGGAGGAAACCTACGCAGACACGGGGAGAACAGGCAAACTCCACTCAGAAAGGCCCTGGTCCGACCGGGATTCGAACCCAGGACCTTCTTGCTGAGAGGCGAGAGTGCTATCCACTCAGCCACCGTGCCGCCCAGTTTTACAAGAGTTTTAGGAGTCTTCGCTCCGGAGAAACAGGAATTATACGTTGCTTAATCAATGTATAATTACATTGCCTTCATTCAGCCTGACATTTGAAATATCAACAAATAGAGCTGCACAGTGATTTTTTGTCATCTAATGATGGAGTTATTTCAGAATTAAAGCTGCAGTTGTTGTGCAGCTGTTTCCTGAGGCCTGACTGAAAACAGAAAAAAGTTCTTCGATGTTAGATAGCAACAAGCCCACATCTAATACATATTTCAAAATACTACATTTCTAATATTATCACAACCAATACAACTAAAAGTAAATAACTATTGCTTTACAACCAGGGGTGCATATAAGTGGTGCGCAGCTACACATGCGTGACAAATATCAGAAATGCGTACTATTACTTGAGTTAGTAAGCGCCTTTGCGTACTTCATGTAACCCGGGTCATTTTTATCCACTCCACTCCTCTTGTCTCCGCTCCTCTCCATTATTTTTATGCCGTCTTTTGTAAAAAATCTCCCGCTAGTTGTCTTACTCAGGCGAGAGTTCGAACGGCCCCCGTGGCAACACTTCCTGAAATAAGCGCGCTCTATCCACCAGTGGGTGTGTTGTCGTGGGGAAAGTCGGAACCATATGCATATATTAACAGACAGAGTCACGCCTATCTCCGCCATTCTAACTAATGGGCCAAAAAATTTGCTCTACTGGAGCTATCCAAAATGGCCGTGAGTGGTCCCGCCCACAAGAAAATTGTGAAAAAATGCATCTGCGCATGCGTCAGCCGGCGAGAGCTCCATTCATTTGAACGAGAGACTTCAAAAATTCACAGCAAGTAAACTAGAGTGGTCCAAAATTCACCCCCTCAGCATTGACACACATGTGGAACGGAGCTTTGGGCCAAGAGCCAACTTTTGGTCCATCCTGTAAAGACGTTTTCGAGATGTCTGCCAATGCTATATGTTAGCATTGACTAATTCTACTTCTGGGTCCACCCCCATCGGCCCGGGGTGGTATTGCAAGTATGTCAGCGCACGTCATTTTGGCCACTTTTGAGCTGGGACCCGCCCCTACAGGCCGGAACCGAGCAAGCTGCAGGTATTTTTACCGCGATCTAACTTTTTTTCCCAATATACAGTGGGTAACTGATATGCTTTTGCTACAGGCGCCTCCTACACTTGAGTTGACGCGGTTGTCACACTGTGTGCATGATCATACAGAGGAACTAGTGACTCAACCTGTTTGGTTCTGCACAAAGAGCTAGTCTTCGCTGCTGGACTCTGGAGCCTGAATGGAGTGTCCATGTCCTCCCTGTGTCTCTAAATGAAAGCTGTGGTACCTACATTTTCCCTTGCATTAATAATGCATAATAATGTTGATTGTGCCCAAAAGTAAAATGTTGTGAACAAATCAAACAGAACATTGTTTTGCATTTTTAAGAAAGAGCCCTGTGAGTCATTATTTGACTGGATTAAGTGGATTATCTGAGTTGATCTAAATCTAAAACCAGGAGATCTAAACCATCTCCTGGTACTCATCTGAGAAAAAGTTATGTGAACCCCTGTTTACAACACATTAATATATGGATTATGAAACAGATTCATTATGTTCATTTATATTATCAATGATTTACTTAATGGAGCTGGAGTTGTCCGAATGATAATTGCTTTTTTTCTCTCTCTCGCTCCAAACTAATTTGTGTAAATTGTGAAGTGAATTGTGCAGATTCTGAGGTTTTAATTTATGTAAAACTATCAATCAATGGCAGCGCTAGAATAATGCCATTGATTGATACATGTTATACATAATTTAAAACCTCTGAATCTGCACAATATATATATCCCTCAATTTGACTTAGTTGATCAAATAATTTGTTTGCCCTGCACAACCCAAACAGCATGGGCTTGTGACTCAGAAATGTTCATAATAAAAATGAAGAGACTCGTAGAAAGATTTATCTATTCACTGACCACATGGACTAAACAGAACATGTAACTTTAATAGTTTTTTTTTTTTTACGTGAAACTATTTAATATATTTCTCACATAGTCAGGCAGTCCCAACAAAATAAATGGTGGGAATAATAAAAGCTTATTTGCAGGATGTAGTTAGAAGTGTAAAGACCAGGATGTGGGGACTGCCTTGGACCAGAGCCCAACTTTCTGTTCCCTCTGTCGTCAACAATTAGCATTAGGCTCAATTCAGCGAGAGCACACGCGGCCGCTAGCAAGAGGCGCTAAAGAGGGCTTAGAGCGGAGTCCATCCTCATGCGCCAGAACACAAAGACCACAGCTGGATGTGAGAGGATGGATGCACGAAGACTAATCGAGCAGGAAGCAGAGACAAAACAATGTTCACTGCGTTTACATGGGACAAATAAGCAATTGATGCATGCTTTGAGACATCGACAGTGAATAGTGACTTTGTGTTTGCATTATAGGATTGTAATGTCTGATAAAACTGTTGGTCATGAAAAATCAAATCAACTGCTCAATCACTTAAGCACTTGGTAATTGTACATGTTAGAACAGCATTCACATACAACTCATATATTCTCTGCAGCATGATTAAAGCCCATATGACATGTTAGACT